CAACAAAATCCAGCAAGGTTTTAGTTTGTGTGAATTGAAGCAGATTGTAGAACAAATTCGTATACTGGCTACTCTTCAAAGACAAACAGAGTTCGAAGAAAATTACTGAAGCAAACCTTCACCGCACACTCATACAGGAACTACAAACAACAGGTAGCATTCACATTCAATATAACAAAAAGTTATACAAATTCTGCAGCAGGTTCGGATTAGACAGTATGTCATAGATATGATATTTAAGTGACCCAAGTAGTTCAAGCGCAGTATTTTCTGTGGAAACTCAGGAAATCATGCCATACTTTCACAACAAATCCAACAGGCTCGGTGCAGATTACATTGCCACCATTTTGGACTGTATATTGCATGGTACCGCTTCATGAAACGCACTTTGAGCATAAATAAAATCCTTTAACTTACATAAATGACTTGAAAGAAGATTCGAACACAACATCCATGGAGTCATTTAAGAAGTTCAATGAAGCTGCAAAGAGTTCGGGACTTACTAACAGAGGCTGAAGTGAAAAAGGTTCTTTGACAAAAAATGTTGTACATCAAACAAAAATAAATCCGTACGACTACTTGTTACACCAATTTACTCCAACACGCCTGACGCATACCAATTTGACACTCTCATATCAAAGCAGAAAAGGAGACATTATAAACCATTCCTCATCTTTCATTAATGTTAACACTCGCAAAGCGTTGCGTATATAATGGAGAAATAAAGAAACTCATGAATGTTTAAATCTTACTAAAAGTTTGTAGCAGAACATAGCCAAGTATTTTAACATTCAGACAAGGAGGTGCATGACGGCTGCAACCTCAGCAAACGAATCACAGATATTTCTCATTAGCACTAACATAAACTCACTACAACTACTGAAGACCATAACATAACATACTGGTATCATTTAACCGCTCATAAGGGACTCTCAGAGATTTAACATCAAGGCAGACCTTTACGTAAGAAAACAATGAAGACATTTCATCGAAGGTTTAACAATTCCTCACACATCTACAACGCGACATCACCAAATCAATGCACAACAACAAGAAGTAAAAGTTATACAAAAGAAACGAAGTCAAACACAAAATATCAGAAATTCAAACACAATTACCACTCATTGCCTGTACAAAAGTTCGTGTACGTTCTTGACGACAAACGTTGACAAAGAACGTTAAGTGTAAGTCGAATTATTATATCGTAGACTTCTACGCAAGGTAAGGATATCTTATAAAAGCTCTGACGACATCCATAGCATTTTACCCTCTCATAAATTAGTCGAAATTAGTAATTGGCAACTTGCAAACCATTGACGAAGAAAAGCGAGGCAGTGGTTATTGAAATACTGACTACAACATAAACGATGACATTATAAATAGATATGAGAGGGCGTGAAGATGTTATACACAAGAACGTTGAGAGAATCTAAAACCAACTCATCTGCGGACCATTAGAGCGGGAGTATTGGATAGACAAAAACTATGCCAGAAAGAATAAGAAAAATTCTTATAAAACTTTTTCATTAGATCGTAATCATGACAAAAATAATAATTTAGGTGAAGAGGTGAAGATTCACCTTGTATTTTCACCTTTTTTTCACCCGTGAATAGTGATGAATTTTCACAAGACCAAAAATAATGTTTAGGTGAAGAGGTGATCTCACCTGTTTTTTCACCTAATTTTTCACCTCTTGAATTTTCATGAATTTTCCCGAAATAAAAATAAAGTTAGTTTTATTTTTTTTATTTTTTTTATTTTGTATAAAAGATATGATTTCAACAATCGGCACAACAACAATTCAAGCCGCGAACGGCGGGACTCTGTCCACAACAACAGCACCAAACTCGTTAGTCATGAATCCAACATCTATGTTAGTAGAAATGAAAAGCTTCATTCCTTCTTCATATACTTTTGAAACAGAAATCCAGAAGATAAAGCAAGAACTTTTAACAAGTAATTTAGACTGTAGTGCGAAAGATGAAGAAAATGAAGAATATCTTTATGAAATGCAGGACATTATTGACCATTTGCCTAAACTACCTGAAATCCAACAACAAAAACTCACTATTCCTGAATTCGACGAAATTGAAGTGAAACCAACTGACTCAGTAGAAATTAAGAAATTCATACGAAAGGTAAATTATGAATTCCTTGGTTTTCATTGCAACCATAAGGTTATGGACAAAGATTGCGACATGGTATATAAAAACATTTCTGACATATATAAATCTGAGGAGTTTAAGACTTACGATAACTTTGTTTCATTAGTTGCAAAATGTGTTTGGGAAATAAGAGATAAAGATAGAAGAGGCAAAGTATGGAACGAACAAATAAGACCCGCTATGTTTGAGATGAAGAGAGCAATTGACACCTTAGTTGTTTTAGCTGGTTTTATTTCAATGTATAACGCAAAAATGAACCCGCAATGTTCAAAATGTAAGGCAGCAATTAGGAAATATAACTACTCAGTCAAAGAGATAGAAAGAATGAGAAACGACTATGCAGACTTAAAGAAAGAAGCAGAAAAGCCAGCAGAAGATAAAATGAACATGTTAGAATTTCTGAACAAAAACTATCCAACAGCAGAAGATTTCCTTCTATCTGACGTCAAGAAGAAGTATAAAGAAACCTTCGTATTGTTAAAACTTTTGACATACTGACAGAAGAAATAGAAGCTACGAAATTGTTTAGGATTTCAAATATACATCGTACAATTCATGTAAAACGCTTGTGAAAAAACTGGGGTGAAAAAGAGGTGAAAAAACAGGTGAGATCTCACCTCTTCACCTAAATTATATTTTTGGTCATTTACACTCATTTACGAAGAAGTCATGACAAAGCATTTACGAAGAAATTCTTGACAAAGTCAAGACCCTTTGGTCTCGCCGCTTAGCGGCTGAGGTGAAAAATTAGGTGAAAAAAGAGGTGAAATCTCACCTCTTCACCTAAATTATATTTTTGGTCAAAGCTTCACGAGAGAAAAGATTCCTCATTTGCTAAGGATTCCAAAAATGAAAAAATCGTTGATTTCGGCTGAGAAAAAACGGCAAAAACCCTTCTTCCACGGAACAAAGAAATAAAGAAGAAATAAAGAAGAAATAAAGTAAATTTTTTATTATTCCGTGGAAGATAGAGCACTTTTATGACACTTTTTATTCACGACAAACAAGACAAACAAAGAAAATAAGAAAATACGGCGCTGTCGCGTTCGAACCACAGACCCTGACCCCTCCATAACACCACCTTAGACCACTGTGCTACGTAGCCTGTCGACATAAGATTTTATAAATTGCATATTTGACGTAAATTTATTTCCATCTGGCTTCCCATGCATAAGATATTCATACGTGTTTGTAAGACATTCATTAAACTTCTTTTCTATTGCATCTAATCTTGCGTTATTTTTTTCAATAACTTGTCTGTATTCTTCATCATCTCCAGCAGTGTTTGGGTCTTCACGTTTAAAATATTCATTGTTAACCAATTTTTTATCTACAAATTTTATTAGTGTTTGATTCACTTCGTTATGATAACGGTCATTTCTTTTCAATACGTAAGTGAAGACAAAATGCGTCGTACCTTCAATCTTAAAGCTTAAAGAACTTTCAACACAGTTTTGAGGGTCTGTCAGTGCGTCAATGAGATAGTATTCGAAGTCAGTCAATAATCTTTTTAAAGTCATTTCATACAGGATAAAATTTAATGTTGTGAAGAAATAGTGTTTATCTCAGAAAAAATAAAGTTAGTTTTTATTTTTATTTATTTTTTTATTTTGTATGTAAAGACAGTAATGTCAACATTAGAGAACACAACAACTGCTATCGTTCATGAAGTCATAAATGAAGAATACGAATACATACAGTATAACAAACAATTGAGACTCATTCGTTCTGTCAAAGACGACATGTACCAAATGCAAAGTATTTTGACGGCTTGTTTTGCTCCAGATACTAAGCTTCCTAAAGACTGGTTTAGGAACCAAAGCACCATAGAACTATTAAGTGAAGCACAGCGAGACGTACTTTTTTCTGAAAACAGTGAAAGAACAGCGAGTAGGTAAAAAATCCCAGTCGCCAAAACTCTATGAAACCGTGAAAAATTGCCAAACGGTTTGAGAGGATATTGATGTCATAGACTTTTAGTAAATGCAGTTGCAATGTGGGCTTCACCACGTTATGCTTGGAATATTTACAAACTTCTTGACGAACTTCACAGACAAGAACGTGGAGAGATGGAAAAGAAACTTCAAGCAAAAGATGAAGTCATTGAATCCAAAGACAAAAGCATACAGAAAAGAATACCGCGTTCAGTACCAAAAGGAAAGGAAAAGAACTATAAGTATATGATTTATACTGAAGAGTTGGAGAAAGAAGAAGACAGAGATATGGTTATGTTGCATTTAGTCAGAAGAAACAACAAAAGCTTTTATGACCTTGCTAAGATTTACAAATCTGACAGAAACTGGTTCTATCGTGAAAACTTACCGATTTCAATGACACCGAATGAGCAAATAAAGGAAATTGTCAAAAGTACTCTTCCTCAAACACACTATGACATCAAAGGTTGCACAATACTTACATTCAAAGAAGACTTACCATTACTGAAGGAAAAAATAACAGAATATTTCGATAACTTCAAAGAGGAAGAATAAAAAAATCTAAGCTAATTTTATTTTTTTTATAAAATTTTATCTCATATGAAAGAACATGAATTTAGAATATTCGGAACTCATGACAGAAGAAGAGAACGAACAACATGTAAAAGATTATGCAAAATTTCTGAAGACATACAAAGCATTTAAACAATATCTAAATGCTTCTAAAGATTATGCAAAATTTTGAAGGTATATAAAGCTTATGAAAAAGCGTATGAAAAGTTTATACATTGGGAATTGTTGTAAAATATCGATATGAAGACTAACCAAAATATATTTTGCTTAAATAGCTTCAGGGTCAATTTCTTCAACCATTTCACTTCCTTCGTCAATGTCAATTGAAGCTTCTTCAACCTTTGGTAAGAATTTCTGTATAACATCTTTGTTCGTTATTGTCTTCAGAGATGAAGGATAATATTTCACATTTGTTTCACCCTTCTTATATTCTTTCTGTTCGGAAAGATTCATAGCAATACTGAAGAAGTCAATGTTAGAGTTCTTTATAACAGTATAATGAGTATCTTTGACATTCACGAAGATACTCTTTTGTTTCAAAACTACTGCTAACTCTTGTGAAGTATAACGTTTGCGGTCAATGACAATAGCTAATGGTCTGACATACTGACCAAACTTAGATTCTTTCACAAACTTCTTGTTAAAGATAACATTAACGTTTGAAGCACCATTGAACTCATTCTTGATGGCAGTAGCGAGAGCATTGTATGAAAAGAACTTGCAATCTTGCATGTGTTTCATTAAAATAAAAATATTAAATTATTTTGAAAAATAACTTAAAAAAAATCTAATCTAATTTTTTCAAAAAAATATTTTTTTATTTCCTACTAAAGATGTATCGGAAGTTGTCTAAGTTAGAACACTCGGAAATAAAACAACTTCTTACAGAAGCTAATATAGAAGTAGCAAAGCATTACGCAACAAACAAAAAAGCACTCGCTGACTTCATTAAAGACTATAATGGTGCAATAAGTTATGATAGAATTCATGAGTTCATAAAGCCGCAACGCGGCGAGGACGAAGTCCATGCAATAGCATTTCCTTTAAATGACGTTGCTATTGACTTATATCATAGACGTTCAATACCTCATGAAGTAAGGCGTGAGATGTTTGACATAACAAATGCGAACGTTGGTGAAACAAGAAGAAGAGACGACACACTGAAACAACAGAGAAGAGAGATGTTTAAAAGTGCTATAGAACAAGTTCGCAAAGCTAAATGTCATTCGTTCCATTGACGACAAACCAAAAGAAGGTGAGAGATGGTTAAAGAAAGATGAAGAGAATAGGAAGAGAAATGTGAAGTCAGGCAATAGACTCATTGACTTTAACATCGAAGCTTTAGATGAACCAAACAGAGACTACTTACACAAACATTTCGGTAAGGTTTTCATGAGACTCTTAGAGAAAATTAAAATAAACTCACAACAAAGATGGATGGTATGTTATAAACTTGGTGGAAAGTATGAATGTTCTACGTTAAACCTCAATAATATTGGAACATTACTACATCAGCTCTTGAAGGAGAACTTTATATCAGAGATAGAAGCAAATGCTGCAGGTATTGTTGAAATGCACTATGACTTCTTCTTGACAAACATAAAGAATCTTACTGAAATAAAGATGTATGATTTAACAGAATATGAAGGCTTAACGATGTCAGATGTAAAGAAAGGCAAACCAAAAAAGAGACCATATAGAGATGAAAGCACACTGACAAATGACCAGAAAGCCATTTTGGAAGCTCTTAAGCAAACAGGAAACCCAGCACTTATAGAAAGCTTTTGGAAAGATAATGGTGAAAAGAAGTTTTATAAGAAGAGAAGCGGTCAGTTCTGGAAGTATCTTTGCACATTACCTATAAATCTTGAACGCTACCAAATCTTCAATGAACTGAACAAAAGAACTGCAACACTTATGACAGAAGACAACTGTTTCGTTTATGCTTGCATTCAGGCTGGAGTAAATGAAGAAACTATTGACCACATGAGAGAAGTCATTCGTGTTAGAGACTTTCCTCAAAGTAAAGTACAAGAAATTTCTGACGCAACAGGTATAGCATTTAATGTTACCATTGGTTATTTCAATGACTCAAGACATAATGAAATAAAGAGATACATACCAAAAGAATGTGAAACTGTTAGAACTATTGACTTACTTCTTGTTGAAGACCACTACATGCTAAACGAAAGATTACCAATGACAACATTTCATTCAAACTAATAGAAATTCTCAAAGCTTGTGGTGGAATGAACATTGAGAAACAAATGAAGATTTATACAAAGAGAGAAGATAAATATGTAGTTCGTTATGATAGAACAACACCGTTATGGGATGTTATGAAAACATTGTGGGAGTGCAAATATTTGAACCTATTTCTTATGGAGAACTTTTCACATATACTACTGACTTATATAAACAGAACCTTGCACCATTTAAAGATTTGACATATGCTCCAAAGTATTGTGTACAACTGAAGAAGAAAGCAGAGTCAAAAGAAGTAAATAAAGCTAAATGTAAGTTCATTCCTGAGCACGTTTTCTTTGCTGACTTTGAGTGCAGTACGATGGCTTTCATAAAGCTTTTAACATATGTTACGACAGTGAAGATGGTTCAGTGAGTGAAAGCATATGGGGTCAGAACTGTGCAACAGAATTTTTGGAACGACTCCTGACAAGAGTTTAATATATTTTCACAACCTCAGTTATGACATAAACTTCATCTTAAGACACATGACAGAAGTGAAAGGAACTCCCATCATTAAAGGTTCACGAACAATGCAAATAACTGGTTTATATAAAGGACGGGCAATTATTATAAAAGACTCTTACAGTGTTATAAATAAGAAGCTTAAACTATTTCCTGCTATGTTTAACTTACAAACAGGACCGAAAGAAGTATTTCCATATAACTACTACAGCAGTGTTTTGTTAGCAAATGACAACAGAACTGGTGTCATTTCTGAAGCATGTAAGTTTATCCGGGATGCAGATACATTTATGAAAAACATAGATTCCATCAAAGGTTGCAGAATAGATGAGAACCACTTCGACTTAGAAAAATATAGCACGTTTTACTGCAAACAAGATGTAAGAATTTTAAGAGAAGGTTTTGTAAAGTTCCGCAATGACTTATTGAAAGAGTTTGATTTAAACGTTTATGACTACGTTAGTATTTGTTCAATTGCTAACAAATTGTTTGAGAACAGAGTATACTTCCCGAATGGAAATCTTTATGACCTCTCAAATAAACCAAGAGAATTTATTTCGAGATGCATTCAAGGTGGAAGATGTATGTTGTCAGATAACATGAAACAAAAGAGCAAAAAGAAACTCATTGCTGACTTCGACACTGTTTCATTATATCCTTCAGCTATAGCAAGACTTTATACTTTAGAAGGTATTCCAAAAGTATTGAAGGAAGAAATGTTAAACACAGAGTATCTCATGAGACATTTATTCGATGATGACCAAAAGGAACCCATTGGTGAAAAGTTTATGTCTGGCTTCTTTGTTCTCATTAAGATAACAGAGATTGGTATACCCAGACACTTTCATTTAATAGTTTGCGACCCTGAACTAAATCCAGAACTTAACGTTCCAAGAAGTTCAAACACTTGCTGTCTCATGTATGTTGACCATATAACATTACAAGACCTCATAAAATATCAAGGTGTCAAATGTGAAGTGTTGCAAGGATACTATTACGATGGAAACAGAGATATGAGAATAAGAGATGAAGTAAAGAAGTTGTTTGAGTTAAGGTTAAAGTATAAGAAAGAAGAAAACCCCTTACAAGAAATTATAAAACTCATTCTGAACAGCATTTATGGCAAAACTATTCTATCTCCTATTGAGTCAAAAATAACCATAGTAATGACAAAGATGCTATAAGATATGCTATAAGAAATTACAACCATATAGTGAAGTTCGAAGGTTTGGATGGTTCAGATAAAACTATTTTCAAGCTAACGAAAAGCATTTGCAGACACTTTAACTTCTGTCCACTTGGTGTTAATATTCTGTCTATGTCAAAACGTATTATGAATGAAGTATTCTGTACTGCAGAGGACATGGGTCTTCAAATATTTTACCAGGATACCGACAGTATGCACTTATATAATGAAGACATCCCAAAGCTTGCAGCAGAGTTTAAGAAGAGATATGGTAGAGAACTTATAGGAAAGAACCTTGGTCAATTTCATAGCGACTTTGCAGAAATAACACCTGGAAAACAAAGTTTAGCTTATAAAAGTATTTTCTGTGGAAAGAAGACCTACATAGACTTACTCACGAATGATTTAAATGAAGTTGCATTTCACTGCAGAATGAAAGGCGTGAAGCAAGATGTTATTGCTTTAACCGCTAATGAAATGTTTCCTGAAGCTATACAATGCTATTACAATGAAGATAAGAACATTCACATACCTGTTGGAACATATGACAAAGACTCTGAGTTCAGTTTAATGAAACTTTACAAAGCACTTTATGATGGTCAAGAGATTGCATTCGACTTATGTAAGTCATGTCAACCTTGCTTTGCTGAAAAGTTCAACTTTTCAATAACGACTAAAACAAGCTTTATTCGTAAGTTGAAGTTCTGAGGTCATTTATTTTTGTCAGCAATGAGGTCATTTGTGATAAAAATAAGCCGCTAGCGGCATGGGCGAAGCCTATGTGGTCATTTACAATACAGCTATTGTAGAGTTTAACAATTGTGCTTCAATGTATAAACAATCTTTCCCATCTGGAGGTAAGAACACTGGGCACTTATGGTCATGAGTGGAGAACATGTCTATCCAAAACTCACGATTGAAGCCAGTTAATTTATAGTATTTAGGGTTAGGAAGTGGTGAAGTTCTTGTATGACCAATGAACTCATTTTCAACTCCCTTACTTAAGTTTGAATATAATATAGCTTGCTTTCTATCCCAAATGCCAGGTGTTACAATCTTTGAAAATTCATTTTTCCTCGGAAGTATTGCATCATAATTGAAAACATTCTTGAAGTCTTCATTGGGTTCAGAGATTTGAAACCTTATACGTAATGGATTTTCTTTCTTTTTAGCGACTTCATTGAATGGTGAATATATAACAAACTGACAGTCATGAGTTCCATCTTCATTTTCATTAAATTCATAATGAAAGTCTATAAGTTGTGGCTGACTACCTTCTTCTTTCAGTTGTGCAAGAAACTCACGTAAAGGCTGTAAAGTTTGTACTTCAATATTGAACTTTTTCTCGAACATCTCATTAAATGAAATCATACATTGCAACAATGTTGTATCGTCTTTAAAGTATTTGTATATGTGAATGTTTTGGGCGCTTAAAGACTGTTCGTCATTTTCTATCTCGACTTGAAGTATAAAGTCAACCTTTCTGAAAGCACGTGTTATATACATAGATGTTATGCCAATGTACTTCTCTTCATTTATGTTCACAATCCAGTCTGTTGGAAACTTAAACGTTACTCTGTTCCCCTTTATTTTGACGTCAGGGTTTTCACTACTGAACGCAACAGATAAAGGTATTTGTCTATACATTTAGTTTGGATAAAAATAAACCATTTACTCTTTCTTTGCTTCAGCTTCCTTTGCTTTTGTTCTTCCTTTGCTTTTGCTTCTTCTCTAGCTTTTTTCGCCAGCAAACGTGGGTTCTTCTGTCTTCCAGCAGCTAATGCAGCTAGTTGTTTTTCACTAAGTTTTCTCTTTGGTCTCTCTGGCTTTTGTTCTTGTTTTTGTTCCTTCAGTTCGGATAAAATTTGCTCACGAATTTCTTTCTTCAATGCTTCAACATCTATGACCCCTTGGGTCTTGTCCGTAGGGCTTGTCTGAGTCATTTGACTGCAGATAAAAAACAAAATTAAAACTTTAACCGATGTAAAATGAGCTTGTCAAAATCAGAGCGAGAGTCTATTATATTAAATGACGCAAGAGGAATACAACATCCTTTCTATTATGTAAGTCAGAGTAAAGATGGTAAAATATACGTAAGAAAAAGAAAGGTTCCATTAGCGAATACAGAGAGCGACAACATTAAGGTGCATGGCAAGGGTGAAGTCCACGAAGCCCATATAAAACCTTCTGTTCAAACTGAAAAGTCAATAGAACAGAAGAAAAGAAGCCAGATGTACTTTCAATAACGAACCAAGAGCTTATTGCAAAGTTCGTGAATTTCATTGAAAACAAACCGAGTCAAAGAACCTGACCCGCCAGTGAAAGAAGTTGAGACAAAAGAGAATGTACAGTTCATTGAAAATGTCAAGAAACAACTTCCACCACGAATGCCAAGAAGAAGAGTGAGAATAATGAAGTAAATAGATATTTTTATCTGAAGTAAATACATGCAGAACGAACAGTTAAACGAATTTACTCCAGCAGAGCATATTCATCAGATTCGCTCATATTTCGATATCATAGACAATGCAGTTCAAATTGGTGACACTAATAGAAAATATTCTGACGCAAAGATTCCATCACAACCTGGAACTGCTAAAGATAACACATGGGTAACATTCAATCTCTCACCTCCTGGTGAAAATATGTTGGACCTTTACAATACATTCATTACGTATAAAATGGAAGGTCAATTTATTGTAGATAAAGAAATTGGTTCAGGTTCCAATAAAACAAACCCACCAGGATTTTGGATTGGTTTCGATGACGCTTTCTATGCAGTTGCTGGATATCAAATCCTTGCAAATGGTCGTATCGTATATTCTCAAGACAACGCAAGAGAAGAAGCATATATAACTTCAAACTCACAAACTACCGAACAAATAAAGAAAGTAGATGTTTTCTCAAAGACTCGACATGAAGATGTATGGAGTCATTCGGGAACATGCAGAACAGGACAAATTGTTAGTGGTCCAATTACAGCAGGAAAATCATTTGATTTTAAGCTTCGTTTAAGAATTCCTGTTAGAAGATTCCTTCCATTAGAAGCTATTCGATTTATTCCAGCTTTTGCAGGAAACATTCAGCTTAAAGTAAAGTTCAGTAGCGACGCCTTACAATGCACATCTATATCTGTAAATGATATCATTGCTTTCAATCCAACTCTTAAAGTTGCATTTGCTTCAGATTCAAATCCACCGACAAATAAATTTGTTCCATGGAATGAACCATTCACTATGATAACGAAGCAGTAGAAGCTAGTGGAACAGTTACTATTACAACTGTAACCCAGCAACTATTTCGAACAAAGATGGATTTTAATGAATGTTTCATTCATCCAAAGTCATTCTCTTTAGACCCTAACATTTATACAGAACTTGTAGAACATTATACAAACGAGGCTTTATGTTTTCCTGTTAAAGTTATGGATTGGATTCCTATGGACGGTTCATTCTCAAAGAATACAGATAGTTCAAGTGCAACATTTACAGCAGCTTATACGCCTATTAATGTTAAAAGTATTTGGGCACTATTTAGAAAGAAAGACAACTATTATGTTAATTTTGAGAACCCTAAGTTTAAATATCTTCAGCTTTCCATGGGAGCTTATGGAAATATGCCTGCAGAACCTGAAAAATCATATGGACCTGTATTTTATGAAATGGTTGCGAACGCTTGCAATACAAACAATGATATGATAGGATTTAATGAAGATGTTATGAGGTCATGGATGATGGTAGTGTGGAACATAAATGGGATAGCTATGACAACACACATTTCTTATGTGGTTTTCCAACAGAAGTGGACTTTTGCTTCCAGCAAGGTCAAACATCTACTGCTCCAATAACATACAAATTGTCTGTTAAAGGACCTATTGAACTAGCAACTGAAAATGTACCAAAGCCACTTATTGGATTTATGAGGGATTGTTGCTTTGCAATCAAGTAAGACAGTCAGGCATACCAATAATAAGACTTGACGACTATAACTTAGCACGGACGACAGTGAGGAATAAAGGATGAACGTTTATTTTTAAAGCTTATAAATGAGTTCTTCATCAAGCTCTCGTGAACCTTCACCATCTATGAAACAAACTTTACCAAACGATTATGGAGCACCTATTGAATATTTCTTACGAGCTGCACAATGGCAAAGAGCAGTCTCACCAAGGTTAGGTGTTCCACCAGCTCCTGTCAAAAATAGCATTTGGTCAAGTCCTTATATAAATATGGTCTCCCACTAGGTTTGCTAGCTACAGCAGGAGCAGTAATGATGTTGAAAAGAAATAAAGCAAATGTTATAAATAATACTGAAGTAGCTGAAGTTAAACAAACTCCGACACCATCGCCAAAACCAACGCCTTCACAAACAACACCTTCAATGACTCCTGAACCTATGAAGTACAAACTCCTGTTCAAAAGTCAACTCCAAAACCGACTCCAACATTTAAACCAGAACCTACTCCTCAAATAAATCGTAAAACTCCTGCGTTTCCTTACTGAAAAAATAACGTTATTTTTATTTAATATTAAAATTTTTATTTGATTGAAATGACGACTAAAGTCACTGAAGCAATGAAACAAAATTTTTGGTAGAATACATTAAATCAGGACGGTTCCAGAAGGTTTTTACGTTCATACTATGAAGGATGGTAGAGTTCAGTTTAGAAAGATAAAGCAACCATTAGATAAGAAGGAATTTTGAGAAAGATTAAACTTCATGAGGACAACATTGCTGAACTTAAGAAGAAGTTAGAAGAGTTGGAGAAAGGAAGAGAGTTATAAAGTAATGAATTCAACAGACCCAAAGGGTCAGAGCCGCTTTGCGGCTAGGGTGAAAAAAAGAGGTGAGATTTCACCACTTCACCTAAATTTATTTTTGCGCTATGTTTTCATACGTGTGAGGGTGGTGATATCATTAATTTTTTAAATAAATGTGGGAACAAAAATAAAGCATTTCTACTCAACAGGAATGAGACCCTTACTGACTATGTATTCGTTTAATGCTTGATGAAAACAATGGTACATATTATCGTATGGGTATACACAACGTCTGTTTCCATCGTCGTCGTATATGTAGAGCTCAAATCCAGTCCAACCTTCTTTTGTACAATATGTAGCTTTATTTAAGTATGCATTTATGTAGATAAGGCAGTTTTCTTCATCGCTCCAGAAATAATTTTTCGTCATTGTTGAAATAGTTTTCGTTCCTCTGCGACCATAAGGAATGTATGCAATGAACTTTGCGTCATAAGGGATTGTAATATATTCAGGGTTTCTTTCATCGTCAATGGGTCTGTCTTTGTTAAAATGCATGTTTCTCAGTTTTACTTGAGTTTTGAATAGTTCACGGAAACGTTCTGGGAAAGAGTCATAGTAAATGTAGTCGGACATGTCTTTGTAATGAAATAAAAAATTTAAAAAAAAATAAAAATAAGGTTATTTTTATTTAGTGAGGACGGTAGTGAAGTCGTTAGTGAAGTCGTTAGTGAAGTCATTAGTGAAGTCATTTATGTGTCAGATGGTTTTGTAAATATTTAAGGTTAAGTTGGTGTTATGGTTGTGTTGTAAAATATACGTTACCGGTTTCGTAAAGTGTCAAAACCGCTAAGTGGTGTACGGAGGCGCGCAGTGCCACAGTACACGACTTAGGGATACTAACTTACCAAGTAGACTGGACTTTGAGAGACTCTTTAGAAACTTTAGACGTTATACATAACCATCCATGCTTTTACTTTACATCCGATAAAAGTGGTTTGGAAACCGTTATGAGATGGCTAGAGGACATACATGACTATGAGTTTATATATGACAAGATAGAATATGAGAGAGGTCCTATAAACTGGAGAAAGTGTCACAATAAAGAAATTTTATTAGTAAGTAAATGTGGTTTGAAATAGGACTACTTGTTTTAGGTTTTTTCCATTGTGTCATTTATTTATTTGACGTGGCAGAAAAGTACAGAGAATATGAAGATGAACCAATGCCTGCAAATGTTCAGCATATGTACTCGTAAGAGATATTTTTATCTAATATTAAATGGACGCACAGAACTTAGCGAATGCACAGCAACCTGGACAACCAAACCCAGAGAATATTCCAAATGAAGTTAGAATACAAACTGCAATGGCAAACTATGGTCAAAGTGCCAACAGATGTACAAATGCAAACTGCCATGTCAAATGACGCTGCGTTAGGTTTGCCACCATGGTATGCAATTATGAGATGGAAAGAGTTTTATACAAACCCTGAAGGGATATAAACAACTTTATGCAGATGACGCGAACACAGGAGTTGACCCAGGATATGTTTTCTACCAGAGGAGAAACAGAATGTATGAGCTCCAGTTAAAGAATGCTATGGAACTCAACAGGAAACGTAAGAGACTAGGCGGACATTAGATTTTTACATATAGTAAAATGGGTTTCTTCAGTAAGATAGGAAACTTCTTTCGAAATGTTGGAAGAGGTATATGGAATGAATAAAATCTGTCGGAAGAGGAGTATGGAACGTGTCAAAAATATTGGTAAAAGAGTAGGTCAGTTTGTTGGTATTATACCTAAAGACCCTGAACCAGAAGAACAAGCTCCTGTTATACAACAGCCTGAACCTGCACCACAGTTAAGTTGGCAACCACAACCGGTATATTAAAAAATTATATTTTTACCGTTCGATAGTAGTTGTATATGAAACTAAGTTCTAAGTAAAACGCATGGTATAATGGAATTATTCTTTTTCTTCCATCTGTAGTAAACCATACTTGAAAGTCTGAAATACTTCCACTCGGCGGTTCATATAACTTTGTAGGTTTTTCGTAAAAGTCATTCATCAGACATAAGAAAGAGTTTTGCGCACCAGAAAATGAAGCATGAACAATAATAGCATCTGGGTCGAAAATATTTTCATATGTTCCATTAGGTTTTTCGACTTCATAATAGTCCGGGTGTACTGGATATGCTGCAGGCTGATTTAACATCCTCATAAATCTATACCATGCCAAGTTGTTATATTTTGTAGAAATATAAACGTTTTCTCCAAGGTCTTCTATTTTATTGATTTTAACAGTTGCATTTTTCCTGTCATAAATAATATCGAGATGGTATTCTCCTTCGTCAATGTTATACTGGTTTGCATATTCAATATAGATATCGTTTATTTTTTCTTGAAAAGCTTGAAGAGTTGTTTCTAAGTTTATAAGCAAATTAACTTGTAAAAGTTTTCCTTGTTCAAATTTCTCATACATACGTTTTTCTTTGTTATAGTATCGAACTTCAAAACCGACCGTAAATGGGAAACCATGTATGGCTTCTGAAATGAACTTCATTCTACGAAAGCCAATAGCTTTTGTGACGGATGGGCCTCTTAACCATCTTAATGGGTAGTCAAAACGATAGCCTTCATGCTTTACGGTATCTGTCTCAAACTTTTGACCGACATTAGTAAAAAGTTCATCTAATGGTTTAGTTGTAGCAACTCTTGAATTTTCTTTTTCTATTGGAAGCATATTTTATCTAGAATAAAAATGTCAAATGAAACAGCGTCTATGAGAGAAATACAACACAACCGACAACTCATTATACAAGCTCTAAATAAGAACACAACAAACTTTCAAACTATTCTAAGATATCTGAGTCATTGAAAGGGGGTGACTTAAAACTGACAATAAACCCTATAACAGATGAGTTTCTATTTCAAGACAATAAGAACAATACTGTCTGTATAAATCCAACAAAAGGAACTTTAAACGAGAAACCTATAAATGAACTTCTTTTGAAAGCAGATGTTGACAACAAAGCTGACAAAGAATATGTAGACGATGCAATAGCAAAAGAAGAAGAAAGAGCTAACAATGCTTATGCAACAAAAGAACATACTCATCCTGAACTAGCAGACAAAACATATGTTGACAATAAAATGTCAAGTGAAGTGACAAGAGCTGAAAACGAATATTCTAAAAAGACTCATATACATTATATTAACCAAATACCAAGTCTTAAGGAAACATTAGAGACAAAAGCAGATAAGACTCATACACATTCTATATCTGATATTACAAACTTACAAGAAACCTTAAACAGGAAAAGTGACGTTGGACATACACATACATCTTCTGAAATAACAGACTTAAACGTTAGCCTTGAAAATAAAGCAGATAAAACATATGTCAATGAAATATACCAAAGTTTGATAGGAACAAAAAATATTGAAACTATTGTTGGTGACTTTTCTGTCAATGAAGAAAATAAATATTTTAGATGGCAGTTGGTACAGTCCTTAAAAAATGGTACACGGCATAAACTCATTCTGAAAAATAACAATGAAATGTATGTAAGCTATAAAAAGAATGATGGTACACAAGTTAAAGTTCCATTAGACAACAACTGCTACTTTGTAATGCATGAAAAATAGCGTGACTTCATTTTTGACAGTTTACAAATGTAAAGTGTTGCATCCTTAAAAACTTGGAAATATATACATTCATGAATTATCTTGTATATTAATTGAAAATCCATAAAACCCTAACAATATTTTTTCTTAAAAAAAAACTATAAAAATATAAATAAAATTAATCGTTAAATAAAAATATTTGATATTAGAATTTTATTGGAAAAATAAAAAACTTAATATTTTAAAGAAATACTTAAATACTTGAATGTTTTAACTTTTACATTATCATATAGACTCTCAAATTATTGATTGGAAACGGTTTGAGTGTTATCAATTTAAAAAAATTGTGAGTTTTTTAGATTTTTGGCAATGAGTTTTAAAAATTTGTGAGTGAGAATGTGTGTTGATGCTTGGCACTTTGAAGGGAAGATGTTCTGGGTTCACAATTATTAATGGGATAAATAAAATGATTATAAATATAATATATTAGAAAATAATTTGCAAAATCTCTCCATTTTTATAAATTTAATAATAGAAGTTGATCTATATCGAAAGAGCGTTTTATCTATTAAGTTTTTGGCTTTTGCCTTCAAATCATTAATATAATTTTTTTCAAAAAAATTGTTTTATTTAAAATAAACAAATTTTATCAAATAACTAGTATTTTTAAATTATCTTTTGAAAAATTGAAAAATTTACAAATTAAAAAATGGAAGACATCTTGGTTCGTCTCGAAAACCCAGAAGATCTTAAAACTTTTCAACTCCCAACCGTTCCCGCCGATCAGGTTCTCAACGTAATTGAAGAAAAATATCAAGAATACATTAATAATCCAAATGTAACTCTCGAAGATACGGCAAAAACACTTTCAATAGGAAAAGAACGTTTGAAAAAAATTTTCGTACTACTCGGCTATCCAATAAAAGAAAGAGGAAGACCAAAGAAAAAATTTTTAATTAAATCCGAACAATCTTACATATGCAGCTGAAGCACACTCACAAATTACTCTCAATATCCACTCAAATCATACAAAGTTTTGTCGAATAGTTTGATATAAAGACAAAAAATTTACAATTTTTAATTAAATCCGAACAATCTTACATATGCAGCTGAAGCACACTCACAAATTACTCTCAATATCCACTCAAATCATACAAAGTTTTGTCGAATAGTTTGATATAAAGACAAAAAATTTACAATTTTTAATTAAATCCGAACAATCTTACATATGCAGCTGAAGCACACTCACAAATTACTCTCAATATCCACTCAAATCATACAAAGTTTTATATTTTCATTTTATTGTTTCTTAATAAAGAATTTACTTTAATATTCTTAATTGTTTTCTTTTTTATATTTAATTTTTGATATCTATTTTAAAAAACTTATACAAATTCGAGTCAGCTAATAATTTAATTGAAAAAATAAAAAGAAAACATATAATTTTTAATCCGTCTAATTGAATAAGCAATATTATAAATATTATGTTAAACGGTTAATTTTTTCTCAAAAAAAATTATTTCGAATTTCCGAAATTTTTGACATTTTGGCTGAGAACTATGGTCTGCGAGGTACATAGATAGAATCAGTACCTCGCAGACTATAGTTCTCTATATGGCGCCGAAAATTTTTTGTTGAAATGTCGTCGCATTTCACCAAAAATTTTTCGGCACCATAGGAAGAATTGGAGGGTGTGAGATACTATTACATGCTATAGTACTCACACCCTCCAACTCCCAATCAAAATCGCATAAAATTTGCTACTTATCTTCAGATTACCTCCCATTATAAAATATATCATTGCTATCTCATCGTACTATATTTCCACCCTATTGTATTTAAAAATATAAAATTTTTTGATAATATATTTTTATATCTTAAATTTTCAAACAATATATTCACAGATAATATAATGGGAAATCTATCTCAACCTAGCCTTAAAGTACCAAACTCCTGCTTGCATTCTCACTCACAAATATTAAACATCCATCTCCAAAAAACTAAATTCTTCACAATTTTTTTTAAAATTGAGAACATAAAAAACGTATGCATTCAATAATTTAAGATACTAACAAATATTAAAAACTTCAAAATATCAGATATTAACGTTTTTCAATTAAAAAAAATATCATTTTGCTTTTCAATTCGAACATAAATCTTAAATATTTTTAATTAATATCTGATTTACAGCATTATTATCCATTTATAAATCTGACAAATAAATGACAAAACCATCAGAAATAGTGTCACTTTTGTCAAAAGTGAAGTCACGCTAATTTTCATGCACAACACAACAACTGCTACTTAAACTTATATGGAGACGAACAAAAGAAATATTTAAGAGTTTATGAAATGGCAGATATGACATTGCCTGACCCAGCTCCGGCACCACATTATTATGACTATGGAGATGACGACAGAACACCACATGTAGATGAACAAAAGCTAACATTATATTTAGATTATTATAGATATAAAAGATATAATGCAATAGAAAAAACGAGAATAGTATATTATTATACAGATGACAAAAATAAATATTATAGTCAAGACTTTACCTACCATGAAAACATAAGATTATATTATAAAAAATATTCTGACACAAACCAGAAGAAACCTGAAATAGTTGCACTATATTTTAAGTTCAAAAGAGACAATCCTATAATATCTCATATGTTTGATTTAATGAACCCAGTAGGTTCTATTTATACATCTATGGATGCAAGAGGTCCTCAAGTAATGTTTGGTGTTGGTGCATGGGAACAAATAGTCGACAGGTTTTTGTATTGTGCAAACTCTTCAAAGGAAACAGGTGGAAGTAAAACGATTTCAGGTGAAAATTTACCTGCACACAGTCATTACATAGATTTAAGTACATCTCAAGCAGGTTGGCATAAGCATAGATATTGGGATTGGTCAGGAATGACAAAAGGTAAAGGATATGATGTTAAAGACGACGTTAAGTTTGCTATAAATTGTTACTGGAGTGACACTCAGGGAGAAGGAAACCATACACATTTCGTTTCAGGATATACACAAACAACGGGACAAAGTAAAGAATACATGCCACCTTACATGACAGTTTACGCATGGTATAGAAATGCTTAGTCGTCATTTTCAACTTCTTTAGCATATTCGTCAGGAGTTGTCTTATATTTGTTAGGAACTGTCTTTGAAAGTATACCACCTTGAACTTTGACAAGTTTGAAACGAGGTCTGACAATAGTAGTTTTATCTTCTGCTTGCAGTGTGTACATTTTGCCATGTTTGCCTAAAACTTCATAATATTCTCTTGTATACTTTCTTCTATTTTTACGAACACGAATGTGAGTACCTGTCGAGTTCCCATTGTTGTCATAGTCAATAGTATTTTCATATGGGTCGCGTTTAGGTATTTCTATTTTTACTTTGTCACCTTTCTGAAGTTTGAAGCCCGGCATTCTTTCTTGTTTGTCTCTTTTGATTAAATTATTAAATATATAGTTTTTCTCTAAGTCAGGGTTGTTTTTCATTTCTTCGGGGGAGTGGTTTCCCAAACCTTTTTGTTTACGGTTATTGTAAATATTTAAAACTTGTCTCATCTTTGCCATGGAGAAGTGTCTATACTTGTCGTCATATGATATTTCATTTGCTTCACCACCTTGTGGTTGGTTTAAGTCTCTTAACATTTTTATACATCCGTCAATGACACCAAGAGCAGAATGGTTTTGGTCGACAATGAAATATTGGTTTACATTTTTTGAACGCAGATAGTTTTTTACATCATCTGATTTGAAAGAACTTTCACAGTCAGATGTCAGTTTTGTTGGATGGTATTTGTCAACGAATATTGTCAAAGCAGTTTTCACATCTAAAATATTTTTGGACCATAATGGTATGGCTTCACAGTATCTTGTGTTTTGACCAACAAATATTAACCAGTATGGAGGTCCATCTGTTCTAACTCTCGGAATGTTTTCCAAGATATCCATAAACCAAGCATTTGGTGTTGAACTAAAGATTTTTATCATGAGTGCTTTCTTTGTCGCTTTAGAAACATAGGGGTCCTTGTTCGGATTCGTCATTTTTTACCCTATAAGAAATGGGTTTATTTGGCGCATTAGCAGGAGTTGCATCTAGATTTTTACCCGCAGTGGGAACAATAGCCAGAGGTGCATTTGGAATTGGAAGGAAGATTTTGAGTACATTAGGTATACTGAAAGAGAAAGCACAACCTATTATACAAACTGTACAGAAAGGTTGGGATGTAGCACGAGATGCAACAAATCTTATTCCAAATCCTGAAACAAGAGGAAAAGTTCAAGGATGGATGGACAATGTAGGAAGACAAGCAGGAAACTATTATAACAAAGCAAATGACTACTATAACCAAGCAGGGCACTGTATGGACCAAGGTGAAAGATTCTTTAACAGAGGATATAACCATGCACAACAGTGGGTAAACAATAACCAACCTCAACCGCCTCAAACGTGGGGAATGTAAAGTTTTTTATTGAGATGAAATGAACAATGCAGCATTGAGACAAATGAGTTCAAGATGGATTTGTCGGCTTCCAGCATTTAAACCGATACCATATAGTCAGGCTCAGCATGTGAAACTGAATGATATTATTAAAGGAACCATCCCACCTCCACAACAACAACCAGTTGAAAACAAACCAAACTAAAATTTTTTACTGAGATGAAATGACCGAAGAAGTTGAAACGGTAGATTTGACACCACAAACAAAAAGTTCAGAATCATTGTCAAAACCTGTCAAAGAACTTACAGATGAAGAGAAAAATTCAATAATAGAAAGTGCCAGGTCTGGAAATACAAACCCTAACTATAAAGTCACTTTTCATAGAAATGGAACGGCTAGTATCTCAAAAAAGAAACAGACTCTCACAAATAAAATATTGAAGTCTGAAGGAGCTTTCGAGACAACAGATGGAAAAGTTTACTTCACTGACCAACAGTTCATTATAGAACATCTCATTGACTTAGAGTCGAAATATTCTAAACTTTACAACAAACACAAAAAGTTGAAAGGAAAACAAAAACAAATGGCATATGATATTTATGAAGATGTTGACGACACAACTGTTCCTGCAAGTGAAGTAAAGTCAGAGGAACCGAAAAGTGACGAAAAACCGATAGAAGAAGAAAACCAAAAACTGAAGATAAACCAAAACCAAAGTTTAGTTTCCAAACTAAACCAAGTCAACCTTCATTAGCTGGTATGGTTGGCGTCAAAGACTTATGGCAGCAGGCGGTTATGCAAAGTAAAGAAAAAAATATTTTTTTATTTTTATAAAAATGCCCCCATATAGAATGGATAGAAAGTCTGCTAGAATAAAAGCAGAGTTACAAAGATATGGTTGGAGAGTTTCGAAGAATTTTAAATATAGGAAGGGAAGACCCATAAAAGTCTATGACAAACTGGCTGGTCTGACCTACGAAATGGATTTGGAAACAGCACGTGCCAATTATCCAAACAGACTAGAGAGGTTAGAAGAAGAACGTCTTATGGACATGCCTTTCGATGTTAGTGAACCTCAAGTTGAAGGACACGACGGCTTTGCCAGATTCTACTGGAAACATGACGAACAATTGCATCCTTTGAGAAGGAAAAAAGGAAAAGGTGAAGACGCACATGCTCCCATGGAAAGAACAAGATATGCATATGAAAAAATTAATATACATATCATGCGTACGGAGGCACTGCGCGCCTCCTTACACATTATATGTGAATTTAACACTTTACAAAACCGTTGACGTATATTTTACAACACAAACGACAACACCAACTTAACCTTAAATATTTACAAAGTCACCAACCACTTTACCTCACTAACGTTTTCACAAACGACTTCACTACTGTAAAAATAAACGTTCTCACTTACAAAAGTATTGCAACTCCTCCCATTGCTGTGCTTCACACAATACTTCATATTCTTCAGTATCGCTGCTGTCGCTCCAATCGTCAGAGTCAAAGTCACTGTCAAAATAAATGTTAGTAAGTTTTGACAAAGCTAATGAAACACGTTTACCATTTGTATCGTATGCTTGTATAAACTTTCCATTCTTCATTCCTTCATAAACGCTCAAACTAACTTTACCCTTTCTCCCTCGTATCTGATAGAATGTATTTTCACGAGGAACGAAGAACAAATTCTTGAACTCATGACCGTTGTAGTTTGTTATCTCAATAGTTTTCGTCATTTATATAAAAATAAACTTAAAAATTAATGATATCACCACTCCCACACGTATGAAAACATAGCACAAAAATAAATTTAGGTGAAGAGGTGAGATCTCACCTCTTTTTTCACCTCTTTTTCACCCTGTTGAATTCATTGCTTTATAACTCTCTTCCTTGGTTTCTTTTTAGTTGCTTTCTTCACGTCTGTCTCCAACTTGACTGTCTTTCTTCTTCGGCCGTAATGATACCAGTTACTTCCACCAGTCAATGGGTCAAATGGTCGTTCATAAGGGTTTCCATACATTCCATAAGGTCCGTATGGATAAACTGCTGGTGGAGAAGAAACATTTTCTTTAGTTCCATCGACTCTATTTAAATGCATTGTTTCACCTTTCATCTGGTCATTAAAGTCTTTTGCGTGTTTTGCAAACTCATCGTCCTTTCCTAAAGCATTTTCTGACTCAGTCGCAACCAAATTGGATGCTTTATTTATGAGCCCTATTTTATTTAATCTTAACTTCTTTGCAACCCAGCCTCCAATCTTCCCTTTATTTGCATCTAATGTCTTCGAAACCCTTCCTCCACTCATTTTATTTACTGCGTCATAAGCTCCAAGTGCTTTTGCTCCAAATGCTAATGCTTTTGTTCCCATTGCGCCTAAAGCTGCCCAAGCTACCATTTACACCATATTAAAATCATCTCTCTTCAATATTATCTCATAAAAGTTCTCGTTACTGGAGAAAGTCAATGAAACATAAGCGTTCTCATTCATAAACTTCTTTCTTATATCATCTATACGCTTCAAAATGTCTGAACAATTGCTAACATCTTCTACAACAGTTATTTCATCATGAATGACCTTCAAGAACAAGCTCATTTAATATGCTATTAAAATCATCTCAATAATGAGTCCATCCTTTCCGTCTTTGGGTAGCACAACATCTTTCATTGAAGAAGGTTCGACAAGTCTTATGTTAAACTTACTGACAAAGTTTGTTATACTATAATGCTTCGGCGGCGAATACATGTAGTTTGAAAGACATAATATAGATTCTTCAGCAAATTCACTTATACTGGATTTTATAACAATGTTCTCACGAGACCAAATACCACCAATTGACAATCTTGTAAGCAATCCTGCTGAACCTTCTACTGTAAACGTCGATGGTAACATTCCACGAAGGTCATATATTGACATCGTTGAGTCACTGTATTTAAATATTTTCTTAAAGCAATCGTCATTATCTAACCATGCAATAGCTTTGAAGTTTTCATTCGAATATACATCTGCTTCATTAAATGTAAAACCTGACTTCTTTGCAGAGATGACTTTAAAATCTATTGAGTTTGTTTCAAAATTATATGCTATGGTAACTTCTGAAGGTAATGGATGTCCTTCCGCAGTCAGTTGTTCTCTCACTACCGTTTGAAGCTTTTATTAAAAACTTTCATGTCATCTCCTGTATCTAAGTTCACATACACAGCAACAGGGAAACTATCTTGCTTCTTTGTTTCATCATTATATCTCAAAACATTAAAGTTCTTCAATAATATTGTTCTTCCTGCTGGAATACTTCGAACCTGTCTTATTTCAATAGCTTTCTCACCTCCTACATACTCTACCCAGTGTCTTGGATATTCATAAGTATACTGACTTTCTTGAATTTTGGTTGGTTTCATCATAACGTGTTCATAGTATATCTTTATACTCTTGTCAGTTAGACTCGGTGCTATGTTCTGAATATTTCTGACTTGCATTTTTAATTATAATAAAATGAAACATTTATTTGAAGACGTAGATGAAGACATGAATGAAAGCAGTGAAAAGCTCAACAGTTCTCTCATTCTTCCTTTCAGTAAGGACTATGAGTTCTGTTCAAATGGTGTTTATTTCTATTGTGGAAAGATGGGTTCAGGTAAGACATTTAATTTAATTCGTCATATACTCATAACAGAGCGTTTAGGAAACGACTCTTACTATGACCAAATCATTATATTAGCAACTTCAGACTCTATGGACTCAACAGCGAAAACATTTATGTCAAAAGTTCAAGCCTCTGTCGTTAAAGTTCCAGACAGTGAACTCATTGAATTTCTTCAACGTTACATTCGACGTAAGAGGAAATATTATGCCATCGTTGAATTTATACAGTCAGGAATGCAAAAGACTTCTGAGGAGATGGAAAGAATTATTGACAAACACCACTTACGTCAATACTCAGGAGTATACGATATGAAACGACTTACAAACTACATTCTATCAAAACTTTCAAAATACCCCTTCAAAAAATATCCTTCAAACACTCTGCTCGTTTGTGACGACTTCGCTGGTAAAGGTTTAGTGTCAAAACCAGACTCACCATTAGCTAACATCATTACTAAAGTCAGACATTACACTTAACTGTAGCAATACTTATGCAAACATGGAGGTTTTTAGCTTTAAACATAAAACGCCTCATAACTGACTTCGTTATCTTTCAAGGTTTCTCACGTTTGATATTGAACTCATTGGAAACAGTCAGGTATAACATTACCTTTTGAAGAATTTGGGAAGTATATAAGTCTCTCATCTCTCCTCGTTCATACCTTGAGATTCATATCAATGACTAATACCATTAAAGTCAAAAATATTCCATGGGAACGACCAACATTATTTTAAAGCAAACCTTCAATTGACTGATGGTAAACAAATTCCATGCATCTCTGTCGCCATTTCTGTTAATATTTTTGCTGTCATTCATATCATCCACTTCCCCATCCGTTAGCTTTTGAGGATATGCGTTAGAATAGCTGTTCTTAAATGAAGGCTTTTCACCTTTGAGAGCATAAACTCTATAACTTTCTGCATACTTTATGTTTGAACCTCCTGAGCCATCATTGACATAAATTTTTATAGGCTTCCACCCTTTGTTCATATTCCTGCTTCTTCCCTTTGCTCTTTTGTTCAGTAGTTCTACATCTTTATACACAGCTCCTGTCTCAGTGAATTCAACAATATTTTCATTCGTTAGCTTTACATTCAAACCCTTGTCGAGTATATTGTTCATTTCATACATATAAAAGGTTTTTATTCTATATGAAATGAGAAGCAAATCCATCTTAGCTGGTGCCGTTAATATTCCAATTGAACCAACATCAAATGTTGACTCACGAACGACAAACAATATTGTCATAAAGAACTATAGTTCGGAGTGTTTGAAAGAAAAAGAACCAGAACTTAAGTCGGTGAATTTAAACACAGCTTCAAACGCTAACGCTACATCAGATGTTAAGTTAGAGTATCCACCACTGGACCAAATTCTTTCAAGAGAAGCCAACGACAACCCTTACACAAATGTTCAAACAAATCCTTCAGATAACGTAGACCATTACCTTCTTCAGTTATACCAAACAATTTTACTCAAAGACGATAAGAAGCTTTTGACAAATCTTATAAGCAAGAACCAAATAATTCTAACAAAGGAGGACCTTGAAAATGTTATCTCACGAATAACAGGGAAACAATGTGTCATTGACTATCTCGACCCTGAAATCGAATGCTGTGGTCAAACTCCACTATTCATGAAAATAGGTAACATCCGCATCATTGAAACACCAGGAACTACAGGAGTTGAGTTTAAGTATAAATATTCGAACGAGTATACAAAACTATCTACTGACTATAAACTTTGCTTGAAATATGTTTTAGTAAATTAAAGCAGTCAGGACCTTCGTTCTTGGCGCTTTGCGCCGTCAGTCAAAAAATTTCAAGTTAGCAATTTGTAATATCTATCCAAAACTTCTTCAACAGTATCGAACTCATCTTCATAATGCAAACCTAATCTTATTGACTTGGTGCAGTTTTCACTAACACAATATTTTTCTGTTCTCTTGACTGACATAACTCATTTGTTTCATCAAACAGCAACAACCAAAGTTCATGACCTAATACATAACATTCATACTTTATATTTTTAGCTCTGAGTTCTCTTGTAAGCTGTTGCATTTAATATTTTCTAAAAAGTCAACTTCAACAGTCATTCGCACTGGTGCCTTCAGTTCTACAGGCTCTCCTTGAAAGTCAACAAGTCTGAATTGCATGTCTTTCAAATTATGAGGACTAATGCGAACCCATTTACCTAAATGAGTTGCTATGACAGGAACGTTTGGAATGAACATTGAATTTACTTCATAACAGAAGGATTTATATTCTACTGAACCTTTACTATTAACTCCCGAAATGCCTGTGACATTAGCTATTTTAGACTCAATGTATAAACAATTACCATAACATACGTATGGAACAGATTTCATCTCAATCGTTTTGTCAACACTTTTCAAAGGAAATGTCATATGGTATGCTCCCAGAAGCAATTGAACTCTATGACTCATTCTTGGTATCTTAAACTCTTTCTCGCTGCTGAACTTCAATGTTCCCTCAGAAGAGAGTTCGACATCTATGTTGTCAATAGTTTCTTCATTTATGAGAGTATCTATGACTCCAGCAATTTTATCTATTCTATACCCAGCTCTGTTAGAAAATGTTATAACACTTCTTTTGTCATCTATTTCAATCTCTATGAAATCTGTTTCATCTGTTATGACAAAAGTTGCGATAGTATTGAAGTCAACAACTCTGAAAGCAAGCGCTTCATTCTGAAGACCTAAGTTTGTTTGTAGCTTTACTGTCCCGTATTCGTTTGGGTCTGTACTTTGTAAATAGAACAACATTTTATTCTCATTAAAATATGACTATTGCTGCATATGCGTATGAAACAAATGAAGCAAGAAGAGCACATGAACTAGTAAACGAAAACTCAACTTTAACCATTGAAGGCAATGATTTAGTCATTGACGATGGAAAAACTAAAAAAGTCATTGATTTCGATACTTTTAACACGTATGACCCATTCATTACAATAAGTAAAGTTCCTATCATAAATGATGGAACGGTGCAATATATAAATTCTACAGTAGATGCCTCATTAGTGAAAGTACTGAATGTTCTCATTGAATTGTTAAAGAGCTTTCGATTTGACGACAACATTAAATGCTTAAAAAATTTAGTCATGAATGAGAAACAAATTCTCGGCGTTGCTGGTAGCAGTAATGATGTACACCTTATGACATTAGAATATTATAACGAACATAAAGATGAACTGAAAGGAGAGAAGGGTGGCACTGGACCACAAGGAATACAAGGAATACAAGGACCTCAAGGTGAAAACGGTTTGGATGGTGAAGATGGAAAGGATGGAAAAACTGCTAAATCATGGATATGGACCTTATAAATACTGGTTTAACAGCTGCTTCATATGGAGTTCTTCAATACCAAATCGGAAAGATATGGGCAGTACTTGGTGAAGAAGTTTTAGATGACGTTAAAAATGCTTTGAACTTCATTTCAAATGGTTCTGATACTATTAAAACTTTATCTGGTTGGATGCAAGAAACAAGGAGTCAAATAGATACTGTAAGACGTATAGCAAACAATGCACGTACGGGATTGGATACTTTACGAGAAGCACAAAATACACTAAAGGAAGCAAATGATATTCTTGGCTCAGTATCAGACATGCATGAAGATTGGCTTAAAGGTATTGACAAATCTTTAAAAAATCACAGTCAGTCTATTGCTGACTACAAGAAAAGTATAGATTTTTTACATAGTGCTATGGACGTACATGATGGAAGCATAAGGAACTTACTTAATGCTAACAATAACTTACCAGGAACTATTAAAGCATTTATAAACTCCTTTGTAAAACCTGGTGCTCTAACATTTAGGTCTTTGAGAGCAAGAGCATTGAAGTCAAGAGATGCAGAAACTCCAACAGAACCTACAGAAGGAACTGAAACAACAGAAACTCCAGAAGAACCACCAAAACCAACAGCTAATGAAATATTGTTCGAATATTTTCCAAGGTACTCTGTTCTCATTGCATACATTCAAGAAATACTTAAGAAAGCAGACTTGACTTTAGGAGATGATGAAAGTTCTGTATATCTTTCGTTCCAGTTTCAAATAGCAGAACTTTTGAGACAGATATGCTTAATGTATGACAACATCTCTGATTTCGCAAGATATGATGACGACCATGACCCTGAACACGGTGAAGAAGAAGTTTTACAAACATCCATTAAGACAGGAAAGGTTTTAACTCAAAGTCTCATTATTGACACCAAAGATGGCGAAGTGGACGTTCTTCAAGAGCTGAAGAAAAATACTTCTTCGGGAGGTGGTGGTAGGCATGAACTTGAAATAAATGAGATAGAAGAGAAATTAGCCGAGAAAGCAGATAAAAACCATGTTCATTATATAAGTTCAGACGAACAGATTATAACGGACTACCATGGATATTTAACACAGGATGAACAAATAAGCACTGAAGATGTTAATGAAAGAAGATATAAATTCATTCGTGCTAAAGGTTATGACATACACTGTACTGTACAGTATGACACAGGTAAAGCACCAGAAGCATTTGGTTATAACAATGAAATTTATGCTTCATACTTCTTTGCTAACAGTGTATTAGTTGAACCAAGATTTACTTTGAGAGTTAAGGCAAAAATAACTTTTGAAGATGCTATTAAAAGTAAAGCTGACAAAGATGAACTTGACGCAACGAACAAAGTTTTGAAATCTCATAAACACAATATCTCCGATATAAATGAACTTCAAGCTACATTAGATAAAAAAGCAGATAAGAACCATACACATGAATCCTTCACTACTGTTAGAGCAGACGACATAACATTGAACTATACCCTTGGTTCAAGTGCACCTTTAGAGAATCCAAGTACAAGCGTAAAAGATACACTAAACTCCTTAAATAACAAATGCACTAATATTGAAGGTCATGTCAGAAACTTTGAAGCATACGAACTACCAGCAATGTTAGATAAAAAAGCAGATAAAGAACATACACATAACTCCTTCTCAACTGTTGCTATAGAAAGTATTGAAGGAACGGTTGGCGGAACTGGTGGGGATGCATTATATTATAAACCTCCTAACTTTCCACAAGGTTTAACATCGAATGAAAACATAACAACGAAGAAAGAAATTAGCTGTAAAAATGTTTATGTCATGGATGATGAAAATAATGTTAAATTCACTGCTCAAGATTTATATGATAAGAAAGCAGACAAAACAGAGCTTCAAACATTAAAGACTGAAATACTTCAAACATTATATCCTGTTGGTTCTATTTATACGTCAATGAATTCAACAAATCCAGAAACAGTTTTAGGTTTTGGTACGTGGAAGCAGATTGTAGATAAATTCTTATACTGTGCTAGATATTCAAAGCAAACAGGAGGACATAAACCATTCCTCATCTTCATTAATGTTAACACTCGCAAAGCTTTTGCGTATATAATGAAAAATAAAGGAACTCATGAAGTTTTAAGAGTTTTACAAAAGTTTGTAGCAGAACATAGCCCAAGTACTTTAACATCAGACCAAGACAGTGCATACCTCAGTAATGAAATCACAGAATTTCTCATTAAGCATAACATAACTCACTACACTACTGAAGACCATAACCATAACATACTCGGCATCATAAACCGCTTCATAAGGACTCTCAGAGATTTAAACCAAGAGCGAGACTTTACCGAAGAAACAATGAAACATTTTCTCGAAGTATATAATTCCTCAACACATTCTACAACAGGACATACACCAAATTCAATGACACAACAACAAGAAGAAAAGTATATACAAAAGAAACGAAGTCAAACACAAAATATCAGAAATTCAACACAATTTACCCTCATTCCTGGTACAAAAGTTCGTGTAGTTCTTGACGACAAACCGTTGACAAAGAAACGTTTAAGGTTAAGTCGAAACTATTATATCGTAGACTCTACGCAAGGTAATGGATATCTTATAAAAGCTGCCGACGACTCTATTGCGTTTTATCCTCGTCATAAATTAGTTGAAAGTAGTAATGGCAAACTTGCTGAAACCATTGACGAAGCAAAGCGAGGAGTGGTTATTGAAATACTTGGCTACAACATAAACGATGACACTTATAAAGTAAGATATGAAGGAGGCGTTGAAGATGTTATACCATCTAAGAACTTGAGAGAGTCGAAGCCAACACATCTGGGACCATTAGAGCGGGAGTACTGGAAAGACAAAAATATGCCAGAAAGAATAAGAAAATTCTTCTAAACTTTTTCATTAGATGTAAATCAGACATGAATGAGAACAGTCATGATATCATTAATGGTACCATTTATTTACACCAAAAATAATTTTTAGGTGAAGTGGTGAGATTTCACCTCTTTTTTCACCTCTTTTTTCACCCTCACGAATTTTCATGAATTTCCTTAAGATAGAAAAAATAAAGTTAGTTTTATTTTTATTTATTTTTTTATTTTGTATGTAAGAACAGAAATGTCAGTCGAAGCAAAAACATTCACGAACAAATCTAATGGCGAAACATTCACAAAAGGCACTTATAACGGTATTGAAGTCTTACGTAGAGACAAGGATGGTTACATTAATGCAACAAAGATGTGTCAGCAGTTTAGGAAAGACTTTAGAAAGTTGTTGGAAAATAAGTCCTGGGAAGAGTATTATAAGGCATTTTGTGAAGAATATAGCAACCGCCGGAATTCAGACGGTTGCTTTTTATACAAAATTCATGCAGGAATTCCTGATGAAATCAAACAGGTTAGAGGAACGTATGTAGACCCAAGACTTATAAACTATATAGCAATGTGGGCTTCTCCAAAATATTGCATAGCAGTTGGAAAAATTATGGACTCCATAGACAAGAAAGTTCATGAGAAGTTAGATGAAGAAGAACTCGAAGATACAGTAGAGAATGCAAAACATTTGTTCGAACAAGAAGTTAGAAAAATGCGCGAAAAACAATTAGAACATGAACGTGAGATATGTTATGGTTATAGAGATTCTCCATACGAACTAGACCAATGGGAACAAGAAGATTTAAAGAGAGAATTTAGAGAATATGAACTCGCTAAGATAGCATTAGAAGCTGCAGAAAAGAAGTTAAAAGTTTGGGGTCGTTTTGTACAAAAATATTGTGAGTAAATGAACCATTTATTTTTGTCATAAATGTTTTCAGTGTCACCACGTCACCATGTCACCAGGTTAATTAACTTCTTTTAAAAATGATGACAACATGACATTTTGACAACAGGTACGAAAACATTAATATATAAAATTCATGAAAATTCATGCAGGAAATTCTTGAGTTTTGGATGAAAGAATACGGTCAAGCCAAAAGTGGCTCAACCTCAAAACAAGCATTTTATGAGCTTACTAAGGGCGTTATAAATGAATTCAAAGGTATTTACATACATGCTGACCTCGTTCATTTTGTTGCTGAATTCAGCAAAAATAATGTTTAGCTGAAGAGGTGAGATCTCACCTATTTTTTCACCCTCGCCGCTTAGCGGCTCAGATTGCTTTAGCTTTCTCGTGAATTTTCATGAATTTCCTTAAGATAGAAAAAATAAAGTTAGTTTTATTTTTATTTATTTTTTTATTTTGTATAAAAGATATGATTTCAACAATCGGCACAACAACAATTCAAGCCATGAACGGCGGGACTCTGTCCACAACTACAGCACCAAACTCGTTAGTCATGAATCCTACGTCAATGTTGGTAGAGATGAAAAGCTTTATTCCTTCTTCATATACTTTTGAAACAGAAATCCAGAAGATAAAGCAAGAACTTTTAACAAGTAATTTAGACTGTAGTGCGAAAGATGAAACAAATGAACAGTATCTTTATGAAATGGAGGACCTCATCGACCATTTGCCTAAACTACCTGAAGTTCAGCAGCAAAAACTAACTATTCCTGAATTCGACGAAATTGAAGTCAAAGCAACTGACTCAGTAGAAATTAAGAAATTCATACGTAAAGTAAATTATGAGTTTCTAGGATATCATTGCAACCATAAAGTTATGGACAAAGATTGCGACATGGTTTATAAAAATATTTCTGACATATATAAATCGGTGGAGTTTAAGACATACGACAACTTTGTTTCATTAGTTGCAAAATGTGTATGGCAGATAAGAGATAAAGATAGAAGAGGTAAAGTATGGAATGAACAGATAAAACCAGCAGCTTTTGAGTTAAAGAAAACCATTGACGCTTTAGTTGTTCTAGCTGGTTTTATTTCAATGTATAACGCAAAAACGATGCCGCAATGTTCAAAATGTAAAGCAGCAATAAGAAAATATAACTACTCAGTCAAAGAGATAGAAAGAATGCGAAACGACTATGCAGACTTAAAGAAAGAAGCAGAAAAGCCAGCAGAAGATAAAATGGATATGTTGACATTTCTTAATAAAAACTATCCAACAGCAGAAGATTTCCTTCTGTCTGACGTCAAGAAGAAATATAAAGAGACTTTCGGCATGATTAAAACATTCGATGTACTAAAAGAAGAAATAGAAGCTACGAAATTGTTTAGGATTTCAAATATACATCGTACAATTCATGTAAAACGCTTGTGAAAAAAGAGGTGAAAAAACAGGTGAAAAAACAGGTGAGATCTCACCTCTTCACCTAAACATTATTTTTGCTGAAAAATGACCAAATTTCATGAATTTCATTAGTTAGAAAAATAACGCTAATTTTTTTCTAACAAATTTTTTTATCTTGTATGTAAAGACAGTAATGTCAACATCAGAGAACACAACAACTGCTATCGTTCATGAAGCCATAAATGAAGAATACGAATACATACAGTATAACAAACAATTGAGACTCATTCGTTCGGTCAAAGATGACAGGTATCAAATGCAAAGTATAATGAACGCTCTTCGTTCTACAAAGCAAGCATATCATTGGTTTGAAAACCAACAGACAAAAGAACTTTTAGAAGAATTTCCTCATATGATTGCTTCCCTCGGAAAACCGAGAGAAGAGATTCCGTACAAAAATCGCAAGAATTTGGCTCCTGGTTTGAAAGGTTATTATGTTCATAGACTTTTAGTAAACGCTGTAGCAATGTGGGCTTCACCTCGTTATGCTTGTTATATTTTCATGATGTTAGATGAACTATATAAAGCAGAACGTGGAGAGATGGAAAAGAAACTTCATGCAAAAGATGAAGTCATTGAATCCAAAGACAAAAGCATACAGAAAAGAATACCGCGTTCAGTACCAAAAGGAAAGGAAAAGAGTTATAGGTATATGATATATACTGAAGAGTTGGAGAAAGAAGAAGACAGTGACATGGTTATGTTGCATTTAGTCAGAAGAAACAACAAGAGCTTTTATGACTTAGCTAAAATATATAAATCTGACAGAAACTGGTTCTATCGTGAAAACTTACCGATTTCAATGACCCCAAATGAAGATGTGAAACAAATAGTTCAAGATACGTTACCTCAAACACACTATGATATTAAATGTTGTACAATACTTACATTCAAAGAAGACTTACCATTACTGAAGGAAAAAATAACAGAATATTTCGATAACTTCAAAGAGGAAGAATAAAAAAAATAATTTTTTGTTCAATGCTTTGAATTTATTTTTTACAGTCAGTCAATGACGACTGACTGACTGTTTGGAATTTTATACAAAAATATTTCATAAATGCCTTCCTCCTTTGCTGTTGTCTAAATGTCATGTTGTCAGTAATTTTAAGAGAAGTTAATTAACCTGGTGACACATGGTGACGTGGTGACACCTTCAGTTCTTCAAAAATATATTTTTGCTTAAATAGCTTCAGGGTCTATTTCTTCAACCATTTCACTTCCTTCGTCAATGTCAATAGAAGCTTCTTCAACCTTTGGTAGGAGCTTCTGTATAACATCTTTGTTCGTTATTGTCTTCAGAGATGAAGGATAATATTTCACATTTGTTTCACCCTTCTTATATTCTTTCTGTTCGGAAAGATTTAAAGCAATACTGAAGAAGTCAATGTTAGAGTTCTTTATAACAGTATAATGAGTATCTTTGACATTCACGAAGAAACTCTTTTGTTTCAAAACTACTGCTAACTCTTGTGAAGTATAACGTTTGCGGTCAATGATGATAGCTAATGGTCTGACATACTGACCAAACTTAGATTCTTTCACAAACTTCTTGTTAAAGATAACATTAACATTTGAAGCATTATTGAACTCATTCTTGATGGCAGTAGCGAGAGCATTGTATGAAAAGAACTTGCAATCTTGCATGTGTTTTATTAAAATAAAAATATTAAATTATTTTGAAAAAAAACTTAAAAAAATCTAATCTAATTTTTTCAAAAAATATTTTTTTTTATTTCCTACTAAAGATGTATCGGAAGTTGTCTAAGTTAGAACACTCGGAAATAAAACAACTTCTTACAGAAGCTAATATAGATGTTGCAAAGCATTACGCAACAAACAAAAAAGCACTCGCTGACTTCATTAAAGACTATAATGGTGCAATAAGTTATGATAGAATTCATGAGTTCATAAAGCCGCAACGCGGCGAGGACGAAGTCCATGCAAGAGCATTTCCTTTAAATGACGTTGCTATTGACTTATATCATAGACGTTCAGTACCTCATGAAGTAAGAAGAGAAATGTTTGACATAACAAATGCAAACGTTGGTGAAACAAGAAGAAGAGACGAACACTGAAACAACAGAGAAGAGAGATGTTTAAGAGCGCTATAGAACAAGTTCGCAAAGCTAACGATGTCCTTCGTTCCATTGACGACAAACCAAAAGAAGGTGAGAGATGGTTAAAGAAAGATGAAGAGAATAGGAAGAGGAATGTTAAGACAGGCAATAGACTCATTGACTTTAACATCGAAGCTTTAGATGAACCAAACAGAGACTACTTACACAAACATTTCGGTAAGGTTTTCATGAGACTCTTAGAGAAAATTAAAATAAACTCCCAACAAAGATGGATGGTATGTTATATAACTTGGTGGAAAGTATGAATGTTCTACGTTAAACCTCAATAATATTGGAACATTACTACATCAGCTCTTGAAGGAGAACTTTATATCAGAGATAGAAGCAAATGCTGCAGGTATTGTTGAAATGCACTATGACTTCTTCTTGACAAACATAAAGAATCTTACTGAAATAAAGATGTATGATTTAACAGAATATGAAGGCTTAACGATGTCAGATGTAAAGAAAGGCAAACCAAAAAAGAGACCATATAGAGATGAAGCACACTGACAAATGACCAG